AAGAGAAAACAAAGTTAATTTATCGATGGCATCAAATAACCTTAAGACTTAGCAACATAGACAGAATGTCTTCACCAGCAGGCCAACAGAACTGCCAGGGGATGCTGGCCAACGGCACAGCATTCCTTATGTAGTGGACAATGAGCTATACAACTGTTGAGGAAATGAATAATACTACTACTAATAATAATAATAATAATAATAATAACAACAACAACAATAACAATAACAATAACAATAACAATAATAACAATTTAATTATTTATATTCCGCCCATCTGACTGGGTTTACACAGCTACTCTGGGTGGCTTATAACATATCTAAAAACTTAATAAAAACATTCACTGAAATAAGTACTATTTCTCCTGCACAGGGCGCAGGGGCCAAGAGGTCGCCATCTTGCCTCCTTCCCAAAGCCTAGTTCAGTGGTGGCGAACCTATGGCATGTGTGCCAGGGGGGCACCCAGAGCCCTCTCTGTGGGCACATGTGCTGTCGCCCCAGCACAGAGTTCATTACTAGAAAGCCAGGATCACACTTCAAAACGACCTTGACAGATTAGAGAACTGGGCCAAAACAAAGATGAACTTTAACAGGGAGAAATGTAAAGTATTGCACTTGGGCAAAAAAAATGAGAGGCACAAATACAAGATGGGGGACACCTGGCTTGAGAGCAGTACATGTGAAAAGGATCTAGGAGTCTTGGTTGACCACAAACTTGACATGAGCCAACAGTGTGACGCGGCAGCTAAAAAAGCCAATGCAATTCTGGGCTGCATCAATAGGAGTATAGCATCTAGATCAAGGGAAGTAATGGTGCCACTGTATTCTGCTCTGGTCAGACCTCACCTGGAGTACTGTGTCCAGTTCTGGGCACCACAGTTCAAGAAGGACACTGACAAACTGGAACGTGTCCAGAGGAGGGCAACCAAAATGGTCAAAGGCCTGGAAACGATGCCTTATGAGGAACGGCTAAGGGAGCTGGGCATGTTTAGCCTGGAGAAGAGGAGGTTAAGGGGTGATATGATAGCCATGTTCAAATATATAAAAGGATGTCACATAGAGGAGGGAGAAAGGCTGTTTTCTGCTGCTCCAGAGAAGCGGACACGGAGCAATGGATCCAAACTACAAGAAAGAAGATTCCACCTAAACATTAGGAAGAACTTCCTGACAGTAAGAGCTGTTCGACAGCGGAATTTGCTGCCAAGGAGTGTGGTGGAGTCTCCTTCTTTGGAGGTCTTTAAGCAGAGGCTTGACAACCATATGTCAGGAGTGCTCTGATGGTGTTTCCTGCTTGGCAGGGGGTTGGACTCGATGGCCCTTGTGGTCTATTCCAACTCTATGATTCTATGATTCTAGGAATTGAGGCTCGCCGTCATGATGCAAACACAGGGATATATTTGTATTGGGTGCTTCATTATTATTTTTAATTTTGTTTTTGTAGACTCCAAGTCAGGAAGACCCAAAAAGGAATACAGAGAAAAGGGGGGGGACAAGAACAGAGAGTGGAAGATGGTTGAACGCAATGGGGAAGCGTTCTGTCTTTTGTGCAATGGAAGTGTTGTGTGTCACACATCAAGTGTCAGAGGGCACTTTGACACCAACCACAAAAGCGTTGCCCAGCTTGGTGCAACTGAAAGAAAAGAGTTTCTCAAAGGCAAATTGAGGAAATATCATTCCTAGTATCTTAGTTTTTGCAACTCTCCTGCTAGAACAGATCATCTGACAGCTGCCAGTTTTCAAATTTCACTGTGCATAGCCAAACATGGTAAGCCCCTCTCTGATGGGGATATTATCAAAATGTTCCTTTTGTCTGGGAGTAATTCCCTTTTTCATGATTTCCCTAATAAAGATAAAATTACTGAACAGACAACCACAAGATGTAGGGGAAACAGCAGAAAGGATGTTTTGTGATAGCAAAACCTTGCAGAGAAAACTGCAGGTTTTTGAAAGAGACCTTGGGCAGCTGAAATATTTTCCAAATCGAAATAAAATGCATTTAGAAAATTCCACAACATTTGCAGACAATCCTACAAGCCGTCGGGAAATCTACAAGGCATTTCCTAGCATTGAAGCAGTTGTTTTTTTCTAAACTAAAACCTCAGTATTCCAGTTAAATTGCCACATTGGCACTTGTTTTGGGCAATCAGTCTCTCAAAGGTTCTTCATCACTGGCCTAGGAGTGCTTGCCCAGCTTTGGGAAAGAAGTAGAAGGGCTCTAGGACCTGGGCAGAGCCTCATGCCTCATTCCCTTTGCAGAGGGCCATATTAGGAAACTGCCTCCCCAATCTGTGTACCCAACTTGTTGTTTGTTGTTGTTTAGTCATTTAGTTGTGTCCGACTCTTCGTGACCCCATGGACCAGAGCATGCCAGGCACCTCTGTCCTCCACTACCTCCCACAGTTTGGTCAAACTCATGCTGGTAACCTCGAAAACACTATCCAACCATCTCGTCCTCTGTCGCCCCCTTCTCCTTGTGCCCTCCATCTTTCCCAGCATCAGTGTCTTCTCCAGGGAGTCTTCTCTTCTCATGAGGTGGCCAAAGTACTGGAGCCTCAGCTTCACGATCTGTATTTCCAGTGAGCACTCAGGGCTGATTTCCTTAAGAATGGATGCGTTTGATCTTCTTGCAGTCCATGGGACTCTCAAGAGTCTCCTCCAGCACCATAATTCAAAAGCATCAATTCTTCGGTGATCAGCCTTCTTTATGGTCCAGCTCTCACTTCCATACATCACTACTGGGAAAACCATGGCTTTAACTATACGGACCTTTGTTGGCAAGGTGACGTCTCTACTTCTCAAGATGCTGTCTAGGCCTGTCATTGCCCTTCTCCCAAGAAGCAGGCGTCTTTTAATTTCATGGCTGCTGTCACCATCTGCAGTGATCATGGAGCCCAAGAAAGTAAAATCTCTCACTGCCTCCATTTCTTCCCCTTCTATTTGCCAGGAGGTGATGGGACCAGTGGCCATGATCTTCGTTTTTTTGATGTTGAGCTTCAGACCATATTTTGCACTCTCCTCTTTCACCCTCATTAAAAGGTTCTTTAATTCCTCCTCACTTTCTGCCATCAAGGTTGTGTCATCTGCATATCTGAGGTTGTTGATATTTCTTCCGGCAATCTTAATTCCAGATTGGGATTCATCCAGCCCAGCCTTTCACATGATGTATTCTGCATATAAATTAAATAAGCAGGGAGACAAAATACAGCCTTGTTGTACTCCTTTCCCAATTTTGAACCAATCAGTTGTTCCATATCCAGTTCTAACTGTAGCTTCTTGTCCCACATAGAGATTTCTCAGGAGACAGATGAGGTGATCAGGCACTCCCATTTCTTTAAGAACTTGCCATAGTTTGCTGTGGTCAACACAGTCAAATACTTTTGCCTAGTCAATGAAGCAGAAGTAGATGTCTTTCTGGAACTCTCTAGCTTTCTCCATAATCCAGCGCATGTTTGCAATTTGGTCTCTGGTTCCTCTGCCTCTTCTAAATCCAGCTTGCACTTCTGGGAGTTCTCAATCCACATACTGCTTGAGCCTTCCTTGTAGAATTTTAAGCATAACCTTGCTAGCATGTGAAATGAGTGCAATTGTGCGGTAGTTGGAGCATTCTTTGGCACTGCCCTTTTTTGGGATTGGGATGTAGACTGATCTTCTCCAATCTTCTGGCCACTGCTGAGTTTTCCAAATTTGTACCCAACTTAGGTAGACTGTTTGTTGGCTCCCATCCAGTCCACTGCCAAGCCAATACAACACTTCAGCTGCTGCATTGTAGGTGCATTCTCTAATTGACCTCCCTTGTAATGTTTCATTTTGAAATATTTAAGACAATGTTTTAAAGGTAAAGGTACCCCTGCCCGTACGGGCCAGTCTTGACAGACTCTAGGGTTGTGCGCCCATCTCACTCAAGAGGCCGGGGGCCAGCGCTGTCTGGAGACACTTCCGGGTCACGTGGCCAGCGTGACATCACTGCTCTGGCGAGCCAGAGCCGCACACGGAAACGCTGTTTACCTTCCCGCTAGTAAGCGGTCCCTATTTATCTACTTGCACTCGGGGGTGCTTTCGAACTGCTAGGTTGGCAGGCGCTGGGGCCGAGCGACAGGAGCGCACCCCGCCGCGGGGATTCGAACCGCCAACCTTTCGATTGGGAAGCCCTAGGCGCTGAGGCTTTTACCCACAGCGCCACTCGCGTCCCAAGCTCCACACTTTCTCCTGGGTTGTTTTATTGGATTTTTAAAATGTAGATTGTAAGCTGCTTCAAGATTCCCCCCCCCCAACAATAACACAACGGTATAGAAACGAAATAAATAAATAATAGTAATGCACAGCAGGGGGGGCTAGACAACCCTCAGGGTCCCTCCCAGCTCTGCAATTCTTTGAATAACAGTAACACCCCAAAGCTGCTCCCCAAGTGGGAGACAGAGGGCGGGGGGAGTCCTGGCTCCAGGGTGCAAAATAAACTGGTCCTTGAGAAGCTGCCCAGGGGGTTCCGAGCTGGACTTGGAGGCCCAAGCAAGCCCAGGAGGAACAGGACCGCAAGGACGTTTGCAATGGAAGAGAAATTCCTGCGGGATCGTAGGCACGCACCATTCCCGCGACCCCTCCGCCTCCGCCGCCTCCTTCACTCACCTCCTCCCAGGACAGGGCCAGGGTGCCAATTTGAAGAAAACGGAGCGGGGGACATTGCACACACAGCATTTGAATGGCACTACCCATCCACTTTGGGGGGCTGCCGGGGCCGCTGCCCCCTCAAATGTTTTGTTCAGGGTGCCCAAGTGACCTCCCCCAAGGAGTTGGCTCGTATGTCCCAAGGTGAGGATCGGGCGCTGCCGCTGCAGCACGTGCTCCAGGCACCAGCGAAGGCGCTCGGGGTCAAGTTGAAGGAGCACATGGGGTTGGCAGCGACGGCGTCTGCTCCCAGCTGCAGGGCGACAGCATCGTGGCTGAACGCCGCCTAGAACTCCTCCAGCACCCTGCAGGGCGAAAAAGGAAGCCCATTGCCCCGATGGCAGCCAGGCCGGGACCGCGGAGAGCAGAGGGCCAGCCCGATCTCCTCGCTCCCTGCCCCTCTGCAGTGGGGCCTGGGCAGCGACAATCCCCGGGCCAGCCTCCAACTTGCCTTTCCACGGGGGAGAGGAGGCTCAGTGTCACTCACGCCAGCCTGCCTCCATCCTCGGGGGCGCGGAGCGCCTCCCTTTGCAAGGCTACCGTGCGAGCCCCACTTTTTGCCAGGTTTGTTCCAGTATGGAAGCCAGCGAAAGCCGGCGTTTTCTGCATTGCAGGGGATTAGGCTAGAATCTAGATAACCCCCAGGGTCCCTTCCAGCCCTACAGTTCTCTGATCCTGCGAGTAATAATAATAATAATTTGTTTGTACCCGAGCCCATCTGGCTGGGTTTCCCCAGGCACTCTGGGATGCTTGTAGCACAGATAAAGACAGCGTCAAACATTAAAGACGTCCCGTGCCTGCGTTTGCTCTACACTGGTTTAATACTGGATTTTAAACATTTGGAACCCACCCTGGGACCGGCTGCCGAAGGGTAGGCAAGAAACGCGAAGCCAGCAGAAGCCAGGAGTGGCGTGTGCCCAACGTGAGAGTGTGGGAAAGGGGGCTGAGAGGCCACCGCACCCCGTGGGTGAGAGCGAGTGAAAAAGACAATGCGGGCAGAGGAGGGGGCGCTGGCTGAAACTGGTGGCGCAGTGACCCGTTTGCCCAGTTGGGCCAGTCTCCCCTGTGGCCAAACCTAGTTCCCCTTCCTTGGCAGTTTCACTGACACTGCAGCCCCCCCACCCCCCACATTTCTTCTTCCAAACTTGCAACGCACTTTGGCTTCATACACACTTATACTTTTAGAGTACATTCGACCCACATTTCCCTGTAGCTTGTTAAGGCTTGGTGGGAATGGTACCCGTGTCAGGGCTACACTGCAATGCCCAGAATTCCGGGAGGAAGGAAAGCAACAATATTTTTGTTATGGCTATTGATAAGAAGGGTTTTCTCACGTCAGAGAGGCAGCGGAATCTGGAGGAGCAGAGAGGCGGGGCGGAGGACAGTTCATTTTCGGCTCTCATTGGCGGCCACTGGTGCGTAATTTTGGTCTTTTCCAGAAGGTTGCGCAGGTTGGGGAACGCGACCTGCGGGGCAGAGCCGGAGCCCCTGCCCGTTAGTCGCCAGGATAGCTGTGGCCATTGCAGCCTAACAGAGGCCTCTGCGAGAACCCAGGGCGAGAGAACCATGTCTGAGGAGCCGTCCCGCACCCTGGGCTTGTGGGCGACGCTGCTGCAGGGACCTTCGGAAAGTAGCGGCAGCGAATGTCCGCAGCAACCAGGTGAGTTGGCTGGGCGGATGGGCGCTGCAGGGGACCCCTCTGCTTAGGTAACACACGCAGAGGTCAGCTTCAAATCCCAGCTACATAGTCACGTTGAGCCGACTGCAAACTCCCAACCTCACCTACTTAGCAGGGTTGTTGTGAGCAAGAAGTTGCGGGGGGAAACGGACGATATGCAACATCTCTCCCCTCCCCCCCCAAAAAAAGATAAATGGAAGGCAATCGGATTTGAAACACACCCACCCACACCCCATTGCCTTATACAGTGGTATCTCGGGTTAAGAACTTAATTCGTTCCGGAGGTCTGTTCTTAACCTGAAACTGTTCTTAACCTGAAGCACCACTTTAGCTAATGGGGCCTCCCGCTGCCGCCGCGCTGCCAGAGCACGATTTCTGTTCTCATCCTGAAGCAAAGTTCTTAACCCAAGGTACTATTTCTGGGTTAGCGGAGTCTGTAACCTGAAGCGTCTGTAACCCGAAGTACCACTATATGTTATACAGTTCAAAACGAGCCACCCTGCCCTAGCAAGTATGGATGGTTCCCATTCAAATTGGTGGAGTGGTTTAGATGAAGTGTAACGTATCTCAGGAGTTAATAGCTGAGCTATGAAGCGGGGCTTCGGGGCTCAACTCCCAGCTGCACGCCCTTCCGCACCACATCCTAATCAAGTAAAAATGGTGATTATTATAATGGACACTATTATAACACTGGAAAGGGCTCCCTGGGGAGGTGGCGGACCCTCCTTCCTTGGAGGTTTCTCAGCAGAGGTTGGGTGGCCATCCCTCATGGATGCTTAAGCTGAGAGTCCTGCACGGCTTCGGGGCTGGAGGACCTTCGCGATCCCTTCCAACTCTACCATTCCGTGACTCTATGATTCCTGCACTCTAACGTGACAGGCAGTCAAGATGTGGAGGGAGCTGCGTGTCTGAATGACCCCCCACCCCACCCCACATGAAATAAACCGAGACAGAAAGTAATAGCAGGGTAAGGTTTAGGGCCGATTTCCCTCTGTGTGCGCAGTTAGGAACCTGGTTCATACAGGCTTGTTGCTTCTGAAAGACCTTGTGCAAAGAGCGGGGAACCTGTGGCTGTCCGGGTCTTTTCCAGACTACTGTACAATATCCATTATCCCTGGCCATTGGACACGCTGAATGGGACTGGTGGGAGCTAGGAGACCCAAATGGAGAGGCACAGTTTTAAATGTGTGGTGTTTAAATGCGTAATGTTTTATTATGTTTTTATATATGTTGGAAGCATCCCAGAGTGGCTGGGGCAACCCAATATGGGTTGGGTACAAATAAATTTATTATTATTATTATTTACTCGTTGCATTTGAGGTGGAAAAGTAGCCTTTTTTAAAATCCATCTTTAAAGTCTCCAGCATTCAAATCCTTCGCATGTTTCCTCGGAAGTAAGTCCCGTCAAGATCAGCGGAACCTGCTCCCAAGGAAGTGCACAGAGCACTGCGGTCCCCATCCTGTCGCGCTTGCTCGGAAGCAAGTCTTCCTGTGATCTATGAAGGATTCCTTTGAAATATAGTTTGCACAGGGTTGCAACAGTGAAATTTTCGTTTCCTCGGAAATAAGCGTGCACAGGATTGCAAATTTAGCACCCCTACGCGTTTGCTCGGGAGTAAGCCCCGCCAAACTTCAACCAAGCAGACTTAATCACTATCAACCTTTTATTACCTCGTATTTTCCCGTTCTCGGCTGAACTTTGTAAGATTTTATTTGTGCGGCAAGGAAACAAACGTTTTTTGTTGCTGTTAAATCATTCGCAATAGGATCATTTTTCGTTGTTGTGATCCCCCTCCCTCCCTTGCTCCCGGACAGTAAATAGCTCTTACACCAAAGTAAGCCTGGTGAAGATCGTGGGAGCCTGCGAATTAACTTGTTGAGCCCCGTCCAGCCTAAGAGCAGAAAAGGGTTGGCAAGTTGGGGCGCGGGAGCGACTTTAGCAAGACAAAACTGCAAAGGTGGGAAAGCCTGCATTGAAAAATGTGCATGAGCTGCAATTCCCTGGCCCATTCGCTGGCCCTGAGCTCGGCGGGGAGAGCTCTGCACAGCCCCGCCTCTTGAGAAAGCGGCAAAGGGATGGTGGGGGGTTTTGTGGAGAAGTGAAGGCATAGAATAATTGTAATATGCAGCAAGAATTGGAAGTTTGGGGGAACCATGGACGGAGGCGAAATCCTATGTTGACAGAATGAATGTTTAATTTGCAATGTTGTTGAATTATTGCTTATTTTTGCAAATTTCTATAAGTGAAAAAAATAAAAAGAGAAAGCTGCAAAAACCTGTACGTACATTTGCAGCCGAATAAAGCACCGCAACACACAGACGCACAACCAAGAATTTGTCAATGACCTGCTGCAGTGTACAAGCCCAAGTAAATGATAGTAATAGCCACATATATTGATTCTTTTTAAGAGGGGAGAGGCGAGGGAAAGTTAGCATGGGGACATGGCTAGAGAAAAGGGTAATTACGCATTCGGATGGAAATTTTTCCATTCTAGCTTTCCCTCCTCTCTTTTTACCCCTGAACAGTCAGTCGACCAATTTGTATGGGAATAACAAACACCATACTAACCTAAGCAGGGCTATAAGGATTTCTGAGCTAATGTATGCTTTAGGAATGTGCAGTATTTCATTGTGGTGGGGGCTACAGAGTGGCGTATACTGGCGTTGTGTTTAGCAGTCTGGTTTTGTACTTTCTCCCAATAAAGCAACATTTCTTCTTCCACACCATCACCTCCGTCTCGCTAAACTGGCGGGGGCGGGGCGGGGGACACCACTGCATGTCTTGCCTCAGGCCCCTCGCTAAAATGTCTTGAGCCGCTCCTACATCTTACACATCAAACTGCTCGACTTGGAAGGAGCTTCTGCAATCTGGTCCCCTCCAGATATTGGTTTTCTTCCAGTCAGAGATTTTGCCAATGTTTTAGGATGTCTTTTTTCTTTACAATAAAGGTATGAAAAGACGCTGACAAAAAACCCCACACATACATTAAGCAAAATAGAAACATCGCCCACCCACCCACCCTGGCCCCCCACCTCTTTCTCCCTTTTCTTCCTAATGTAATACTAATGTCTCAACAAATGAAACTGATCTGTAGAAAAAGTAACTTGAAAAAAGAGACATTGCACATACTTTTGTAAACCAAGAAATCTTTAATAAAAATATGAATAATAATAATAATAATAATAATAATAATAATAATAATGGTATGAAAAGGTCAGAATTTTGTTTCCTGGATTATTGTTTGGAGGAAACAAAATGTAGGTCTGTACAGATACTGACAATAATTGTTTCTGTGAAACTTCATTATGAGTTTTTGGATTTCATCCTAAAATTTTACTAACTTGAGTAACTAGACAAACTGAAGCTAAAGGCTCCCTAGGGATTGAGGCAACTTACAATATTATAAACTTCCTGTATTAAGGATGACATCCTTCCCATGCCCCACTTAAGAGCTGTTCCCTGCTTTGAAGTGGTTGAGGTGTTCCAGGGATTCTGTAAAGGTAAAGGGACCCCTGACCATTAAGTCCAGTCATGGCCGACTCTGGGGTTGCGGTGCTCATCTTGCTTTACTGGCCGAGGGAGCCGGTGTACACCTTCCGGGTCATGTGGCCAGCATGACTAAGCCGCTTTTGGCGAACCAGAGCAGCACCCGGAAACTCTGTTTACCTTCCCGCTAGAGGGATACCTACCTATTTATCTACTTTCACTTTGATGTGCTTTCGAACTGCTAGGTTGGCAGGAACAGGGACCGAGCAACGGGAGCTCACCTCGTCACGGGGATTCGAACCGCCGACCTTCTGATCGGCAAGCCCTAGGCTCTGTGGTTTAACTAATAATTTCTTGTTTGCATGTTCCACCCCTATTGCTACTTCCCATCCAGCTCATCCAGGGGGTTAATTGTGTTTTGTCTCTTGATTTGCTGGGTTCCATTCCATACCTGCAGAGTGGAGAGGGAAGTGTCAATTGCTGATTTCCTTTTGTAGGGGAGAATGATGTTCCTAAAGGTGACATGATGTTATAGCACCACCAGGGGAGAAGTTGGCTCCTGCTGAATTGGCTCCTGTGGAATTTTCCCTAGTGGAAGAGGGTGCTCAGAAGAAGCAAGAGGCTGGTGGGTCTGCAGAAGTGCCTGCAGAGATTTTACCTCTTGGGTGCCCTAAGATGGTCTGTGGGTGAGGGGACCTGTCTCAGTGCTGGGGGCAGGACCCAGGGTCACCCAGAGTCCTGTGGATTTGGGGGAAGAAAGTCACTTGGGAAATTGCATGTCTTTGTTTAGCCCCATGAGTAAGCAAAGAGGCAGCAATATTTTGATTTGGAGTTTGAGGACAGAGGATGAAGTAGAGGGGGGAGAGAGAGAGAGAGAGAGAGAGAGAAATGGAGAAGGGCATTTTTCACGTACCAGAGAGGAAGCAGCAGGGATCCTGAAATTGTGTCTTTGAGTGACAGGCAAGAACTGCTTCGGGAATGGGGTGTGAGTTTGGAGGCCCTGACCCAGAAGGAATAGCAGCTGCCCAGAAAGACTGAACCTGTGAATTAACCAGAATGGACTGGAAAATGTAGACTGGACTATTTGATTTACTCAAGAGGAGGGATTCTGTTGAAACCCCAAGCAAGCTACTGCAGCAAGTGAGGGGGTTCCTGCTCTTGGGACTGTGTAGTAATTTAACATGAGGATGATTCTGGAAAGTCTTGTCAGTTTTTTAAATGCTGTTGATCTGTGTTTTGCATGTTTATTATGATGAAAACTGTTAATGAAGGCAAGGGCTGCTTACCAGGGTCTGGGGAGGACATGGGAGGGCATTGGAGCTTCCTAGGACCCTCCCTCAACCTTCCCAGACTCTGACAAGTGAGACAGCACTTTCCTTACCATCCTCAGAGATGCTCCCAGAACCCTCATTCCTCCTTCTCAGAGGCCGGTGAGGAAGGCAGCTCCTCGTTTCTCAGGCTTTGGGATAGCCACATGAGGGTTAGTGTTAGGAACACTGCCAGAGCTTCACACCGCCTTCCCAAAGCCCAGTAGGTGGGAGCATTGGAAGGCATGGATAAGTAAATGGAGAGCAGAGAGCCATGGGTCTCCCCAGCTCTCCATTTATTTTTTAGTTTCCTCCCCACCCATGCAAGGGTCCTCCCCACCCATTGCATAAGAGATTCAAGTGCAAGTTGTAGGCTTATTGCAATAGGAACTAGCCTTCCACAGTTCTCAAGTTTTGGGTCTGCCTGAAGAGCTGAAACCAGGTATTCTCACTCTGTCACATGCAGGCCTGTGGAAAGCTTGTATGAGGCCTGGGCAGGAGTCTTGTTAGAATAAAGTTATAAACTCAAACAAAAAAAGCAGCTGGTTCCCGGCTTAGCTGTCCAAGGGCTGGGGCAAGTATACCTGGCTGCCTCTTCCCTGGTCACATGCACTACTCATTATAGCATGCTGGCTCATGGTCCTTCATTAATCTCTCTGTCTTGTGGGTGCAAACCATGCCCCCCATAGGTTGGGAGACATAGCAAAAGGGAAGATCCCTGTGGTGTGTCACCCTTTGCCTCCCACTTGGCAGGCCTCTCCACATCCACTAACAAACCCTCATGGTGTGTAGGGTCCACTTTACCCCCTCCTGTGCAGAAGCAGCTCTGATTAGCACTTTTCCAAGCAGGGGAAAAAATTGCTTAAAAGAATTAAAGAGTTGTAGCAGCTGCAGCTGCAGGGAGCAAAGTTTCTAAAAGCCTCCCTTCCTTCCCTTTCCAAGATAACCTGGCTGCTGTCTCCTTTGTCCTTGATGCATTCCTGTGGTTGTTGTGGGAGGGAAGAAATGCACGCACACCAAATCCTGAGCTTCCTTCCCATCTGTGCAGAATCCTAGCTTCTCCCCCCATAGTTGGTCAAGGAGCTCAAAGTGTTTTGCATGGGCCTGATTTACTCTTGAAGTAGCCTTGAGAAGGTAGGCTGTGGAGAGGGGAGAGAAGGCAAGGTCACCCAAGGAGTTCCATGGCCGAGAGGGGATTTGTTCTTTATTTGCACCTGGCACTTATTGCTGGTGCCCCTTGGGACTCGTAGCCAGCAGGAGTCGGGAATTGTGTGTGCCCAATCTGAGAGTAAGGGGAAGGGAACTGATGGGCAGTGCCACCCCATGGGTTAGTGGCAAGTGAGAAGGCAGGGCGGGTGGAGAAGGAGGCACTGGCTGATACTGGTGGGGCAGAGACCCATTTGCCCAGTTGAGCTGGTCTCCCCTGTGGCCAAGCCTAGTTCCCCTTCGTTTCTTTTTGTAATCCTTGCTCAGCTTCTTAGCGCTTCTCTCCCAGCTCCTTCTGCAGGCATCACAAAGCACTTTGGCTGCATACAAACGTGCACCTTTAAAGTACATTCAAAGCACATTTTCCCTCTCAGAGACTTCCAGCCACTGTGGCATGTTAAGGGTTGCTGGGAATGGTACCTCTGTGGGACTTATACCCCACCCTACCCCCATTCTCCAAGCAGTGTGAGATTCCAGGGGTTCCGCATGGCTACCCAGGGTTCATGTTTCCTTTTGGAAATGAGGCACAGTGGAGACACTGGTGTCTTCATGATATATGGGTTACATATATATACAGCCTGAGCCTACAATGCAGGGCTTCACAGCATTAACACCCCCAAAAGGGTCTTGTTTCTCCACAGCCTTGGATTCAATGAGATATCTGGCATGGCTCTGTCTCTCTGCTTGCTGCTTTCCTCCCAGTCACAACACTGCAGACTCAGCTCTAAACTCTGACTTTTGTCCTTCTCACTATCTGCAAGTTGAGGGAGGGGCCCCACCCATTTGCTGTCTCTCACAGTTAGTAACTTTTCTGTTAGTAACTTGTTATTTCTTTTGCACATCTGTGAAAATATGTCCCTTTTTCTAAATCATTTGTAAAACACATAAATTTTTAAATGGCAATTAGTTACTAGGGTGGCTGAAGCCATCGTGGTCCAACCGAAGGCCTCTCTGAGGCTTGTGTTTGTGGAGCAGTCCTGTGCCTCCTACAAGTCTAAGACGCCCCTACCTGCTTTGGAAGGTAGCAGCATCATATGACGGCAGCTGCCAGGCGAGCTGGCTGGGCAGGTGGCTGCTGCAGGGGACTGCTCTGCTTAGGCTAATAGCAGGTTGGTGTGTCTAACTTCAGGCAGGGCTGGCCCTAATCTTTTTGGCACCAGAGGGGAACCACAGAACGATCCAGCTGTCCACCTGCCAGTTTAGGGAGATGGAGGTGGTGGTGTGGGGGGGGGGGGACATGCTTTATGTGGAAAAGTACAAAACCAGACTTCTCAACACAACTCCAGTAAACACCACTCTGTAGCCCCACACAATGAAGTGGCAGTGTTTTGTACTCTCTGGGCTGTTTCAGAGGTGACCTGCTTTTAGCATGCCAGTTCCAATAGCAAGGGTCACTGCCTGAGCTCTGCATTGCCTTCACCCTGCCTGCCCAATGCACACGGGAACACGCTCAGATGTCAGCTTCAAATCCCAGTTTCCCCATAGAGTCCACATGGTCACACCTTGGGCCAGTTACAGGCTCCTTGAGCCATCCAAGTTCTGCTTAAAAACCTCTAAGGAGGCAGAGCCCACCCACTTCCGTTCTCCAAGCCATGAGGTGCATATTTATCGGATCGGAATACAAAACCCCTGTCCTTGGCTTCGAGGTCATAAATACAGATTCATTTGAAATGGTGAGTGTTGCGTGGCCAACAGAAACTAATATTGTCTCTTTCCTTAAAAGAATTGGGCCTCGGTTCCAAAGAAGGACAAGGTCCACTTCTCCAGGATGTCAAACAGGAGGAGACATCAGCAGGTAGGTGTTTTATTGTGTTGTGGGGCCCTTTTTTGCTCTGGGCAGAGAGGGAAGGGAGGGCTGTTGCCTTCATGTCCTTCTTCTGGACTCCCTATCTGCATCTAGTTGGCCCATTTGGGGTTCTTGGACTAGGCTTGCGGGGGGGGGATATGGTCCTCAAGGCCCCTCTTGATAGCGCTCAGTACTTCCCACATGACACATCTCCCTCCCCAAGTCATGACCCTTGCCTTGCCCTGCTTCATGGGACATCCTTTCTTTTGGGGAAAGCCACAGCTCGGTGAAGCTTGGGACGCAAGTGGCGCTGTGGGTAAAAGCCTCAGCGCCTAGGGCTTCCCGATCGAAAGGTCAGCGGTTCGAATCCCCGCGGCGGGGTGCACTCCCGCTGCTCGGTCCCAGCGCCTGCCAACCTAGCAGTTCGAAAGCACTCCCGGGTGCAAGTAGATAAATAGGGACCGCTTACTAGCGGGAAGGTAAACGGCGTTCCGTGTGGTGCGCTGGCTCGCCAGATGCAGCTTTGTCACGCTGGCCACGTGACCCGGAAGTGTCTCCGGACAGCGCTGGCCCCCGGCCTCTTGAGTGAGATGGGCGCACAACCCTAGAGTCTGTCAAGACTGGCCCGTACGGGCAGGGGTACCTTTACCTTTTTTACAGCTCAGTGGAATAGCACACACTTTGCATGTGAAGCTCCCTGAGATCTTCAGATGGAGGGCACTATACAAATTTAATAGTAATAATAATAAAAATGCAGAAGGTCCTAGCTTTCTCTGGCCTCTCCAATACCCTCACCGGGAGCCCTGCAGTCATAGTCAGAGAGTACAGGACTGAGCCTGACTCAGTACCTGGTAGATTTCCATGTTCCTATATTTATACTGGACCATCACTTTGGACCACAGCCAAATCCATAAGAACCAGAGAGGAGTGATTTGTTCCCAGTTTGGTTTCTCCCCCATTCTTGCTCACATCTATCCCACCCCCAGCACAGTTGCATCTGATGAGGAGGACAAGGAAGCACAGCTGTGCTTAGTGACAGAAGGTGGGAGGCAGAGCAGGAAGAAGCTTGTTTTGTTGTCTTGAAACTTCAGCATATTCAGAAGCTAACCTCAGGTTCAACTGGGCATAGAGAGAAGAAGGGGGAGATGCTAGAAAATTGTAAAATCAGAGGTGCAGGGAACTGGGCCCAATCCATAATGAGAGTCTCTTATTCTGCTTTGCAATTTGAACGACATTTTCTTTTTCTCCCTCCCTCAAAGCAGACGGTGAGCAGAACAGTGAGAATTATGGGGAGCCACACTTGGTGTCATTAGAAAAGGTGAAGACTGAAGAAGAGGAAGATATGTTTGTATATCGAGAACCCCAAGAGCATTTGAAGAGTGATTCAGATACTGACAGTGCAGATTCCTCCTCTTCTGATGTACCCCTGAATATACAGGTGGTAGATTTCAAAGAAGAAAGCCCAGAAACAGATGTCATGCACAGTACACCACAGTTTGATGTACAACACAACAGCAACACAGGAGGGAGATCATTTCAATGCCATGAGTGTGGAATACTCTCAACATGCCACAGTAGCTTCGTTAAGCATCAAAGAATCCACACAGGAGAGAAACCATATGGATGTCCTTTGTGTGGAAAGTATTTCAATCAGAGTGGATCACTTACTCAACATATAAGAACCCACACAGGGGAGAAGCCATTCAGATGTACTGAGTGTGGAAAGTGTTTCACTCAGCAGGGAAGCCTTACTCAACATCGAAGGATCCACACAGGGGAGAAACCGCATGAATGCCAGGAGTGCGGAAAGCGCTTCACTGAGCGTGGAAGTTATACTCGACATCGAAGGATCCACACAGGGGAGAAGCCATATAAATGCCAGGATTGTGGAATGTGCTTCACTCAGAGTGGAACCCTTGCTCAACATCGAAGAATCCATACAAAGGAGAAACCATACAAATGCAAGAAGTGTGGAAAGTGCTTCAGTCAGAGTGCAACTCTTAAGCAACATCAAAAAACCCACAAGTAGGAGAAACCGTTTTAATTCTTGGTGTGTGGGAAAGAGCTTCAATCAAAGTGGATCACTTAATTAAAATCACAGAACAAACACAAGATAATCTGTTGTAATGCATGGAGTGTGGGAAGCATTTCAGTGACAGTGGAACTCTTACTTGACATCAAAGAACCCACCCAGGAAGAAACCATTTAAATTCATGGAGTGTGGAAAGAGCTCCAGTCAAAGTGGATTGCTTACTTCACATCACGGTCTGTGATAAATTATGCTATGTTCCTCATCCCTTCCTCATTCTCCAGAAGGCCCCTAATTTTATTTTATTTTATTTTTGCCTGTCTCTGTTGGAAAGTTATTCCATTTTTATTGTAAAATTGTCTGATGTCATTTGCAGCATTTGGATTTCATATTTGTTAGTTGGTGCTAAATCCATGGCTTTATTGATGCTTTAGTTAAGTCTGCAATTTATCCCACTAGCATCTTGACTTTCTTTTTCAACGAAGCTAAAGCTCCAATCCCAAGCAAAAGTTTGCTGGGTTATATTAATATAGACATTGGCCTCTCTGTTTTTGTGCCTTTGTGTGTGCAGGTATTGGCCTTTGACATGTCAGGTTCTGGGGCTCAGCTGAGTCTTCAGAGAAGGCACTGTTAGTTTCATCTCTTAAGTCCAATTTTGGCACTTTCTTTTCAGGTCCACAGTAGTCTTGAAGCATTATCTTGATATTATTATGGTTTATTAGCAGTTGAAATGCTTTTTAGAACCACTCTGAGGGTCAGAGACACTGATTTTTGGCACCATTTAGCTCACTGGCTAACCATACAGCAGGCCTCCTTCCCCTGCGGAGAACTTATTTAAATGTCTGGAGTGTGGAAGGAGCTTCAATCAAAGTGGATCACTGAAGAAGAAGAAGAAGAAGAAGAAGAAGAAGAAGAAGAAGAAGAAGAAGAAGAAGAGTTTCGATTTGATATCCCGCTTTATCACTACCTGAGGGAGTCTCAAAGCAGCTAACATTCTCCTTTCCCTTCCTCCCCCACAACAAACACCCTGTGAGGTGAGTGGGGCTGAGAGACTTCAGAGAAGTGTGACTGGCCCAAGGTCACCCAGCAGCTGCAGGTGGAGGAGCGGAGACGCGAACCCGGCTCCCCAGATTACGAGACTACCGCTCTTAACCACTACACCACACTGGCTCTCTTTGCATCAAAGAACCCACAAAGGGGAGAGACCATTGAAATGTGTGGAGTGTGGAAAGAGCCTTAGTGGGACTGATGGCCTGATTGTGCATCTGAGAACCCACACTGAGGAGAAACCCTCAAAGTGAATGGAATATGAAAAGAGCTTCAGAGGGTGCAGAAAATTTACATCACACAAAAGAGTTCACTGAGGGAGAAACGATCAAAATTCACTGAGTGTGAGCAGAACTTGATTAATAACCAAATTCTTTACTGTGCATGGAAGAACCGGAACAGGGAAGAAACTAGAGTGTTGAAACAAGTGTCTTGTGGCACCTGAAACTGTATTCTTATATAAGGTTTCATTTCCTAGAGTCTCCTTCATCAGATGCTGCACAAGAGTTTACTGTATATATGTTTGGGCAGAAACAAAAACGGTCAACAGTGATGACGACTGATGCCATGGAACTGCCAGAAGTAGCACATATGGCAACGTATGTTTAAACTTAGATTATATGCCAAGGAATCCCTGGCCATGTACAGAAGCCATGATTGACTAGAAGAAGAAACCCCTAGCACTGCCATGCTAAGTTCCTGAGGCAGCCAGACCAGCCCTGGTTGTAATTTGGGAGTTTCACAATGGAGTTTCCTTTTGGCATTCCTTTGACAGAGAATGGCCACCTCTAGGTTCAGATGTTCTTGTGCTAGTTTCTGAATATTGCCCTTGTGTGTGTAGAGATTAAGGGACTGTTTTGTTAGACTTTGGGGGTGGGATTGCATCCCCTTCCCCTATTGGGCCTCTCCTGCACTGGGTGGATAAAAGGGTTGCTGTGACCAATGCCAGCTGCATCAGGGCAAGAAAAGCCTTTTTGACCTTGGTTGACACGAGCGACAGTACCGAACATAAGATGGGTCCTGAGGCCCAATGCCCCAAAGGGAAGCCAGGCAGCATCTGACCAGAACTGCTGGTAATCAGGTGCCTAACTCTCTCCTACCATGGAAGCAGAGCAGAGCCATCCTGGCTAGCAACCATCCATAGTCCTCTCCTCCTCCATGTCTAGTCCTCATTTAAAGCCATCTAGGTTGGGGGCCACCCTGCCTCCTGTGGCAATGAGGCACTGCACAAAGGACTTTTAAAAATCCATCCTGAATCTTTTGACATGCAACTTCATTAGATGCCCCCGAGTTCCATGCTTAGGAGAAAAGGATGAAATCCTTTGACCCTCTCTCTCTCCAGCCCATGCATGATTTCATTCTAGCTTAATAATTTTAGTCACAATTGAATTCTAGCATATCACCTGGTACCTCAATTTTCTAAAACTAAAAAGCCCCAGGAGCCCCATGGGACAGTTGCTACAGCCCTTGATAATTATTTTCTGAATCTTTCCCCACTTCTATAGCAATTCCCTTTTTGAGGTGTGCTGACCAGAACTGCACACAGTGCGCCAAGTGCAGCTTTCCCTGTGTAGAACCAAATGGTGGGAATGTCCCAGGAGGCCTGGAAATGCCATGGGACGTATTGGTATGAGGTGCAGATTGAGACCACATGTGCTTATCTGCTTGCTTTGGAGCACTGAAGCCTTAGCTTTTGGCTTAGCTTGGTGGTTCTCAAAGGGTGTGGCAGGAGAGGATGGCAAGATTGGCGGGAAGGTTCAAGGACAATCCAATAAACATTTAAACATTTCAGTGTGGTATAGTATAGTATATAGTATGGTATACAGTATAATATCAAAATATGTGGGGGGTTTTTTAGAAAAAATGAAACACGGCAGTATGCCTCTGGCCTTTTTTCCAATATACAACCGGAAACAGTCTCCACGTCTCTCTTCAAGAGCAGTGGCCAGTCTTCTGCTGTTCTCCATGACTTATTGTTGTGAACAAGGGTTTTCAACTCTAACAAATATTTAAAAAATCAGAAAAGAGAGAGGTTTCTTTGTGTTGATGAGGAGATGAGAGTTTGTCTCAAATCAGACCTAACATAAATGAGATCACAATCATACCTTTGCTTTTGAACAGCTTAGTTCTTGAACGTTTTGGCTCCTGAACGCCACAAACCCAGAAGTGACTGTTCCGGTTTGCAAGCTATTTTTGGAAGCCAAACATCCGATGGAGCTTCCGCGGCTTCCGATTGGCTGCAGGAGCTTCCTGCAGCCAATCAGAAGTCACATTTTGGTTTCCAAATGTTTTGAAAGTCAAACGGACTTCCAGAATGGATTTTGTTCAACTTCAGGGTACGACTATACCTGGTTCAAGGACAATCTCACATCTCTCATTGAGTTTGTATATATACTTAACATACGTGTGTTAGAGGCTCCTTTATAATTATATTTTGAGAATGATTCATGTTCTTAAGTAGCTGCCTGGTTTTATAATTTCCGGGTGTCCCATGATCATATTATAAAGTAGTTGTGTTCTATACTGTATAAATCAAGCCCTGCTAGGAGTGGTTTCCTTTTGTTTTCCAGTGTATTTCTTATTAATAAAAAATTCAGTGTGGTGCAAGCAAATTTTTATTCTGAAAGTGTGGCCCAAAGAAATAAGTTTGAGAACCTCTGGTTTAGCTAGTTGGGAGAGGGGAGGCTTCTCACGCTTGTCAGCTATTCCCTTGTTTGAAAGATGGGTGGGAGTGGGGGATGGGCCAGGGGTGGTTAATTGGGCTGTTGTTGCCAGTTTATGTAGCTTGCTTCTTGTATAAGTAACCAATATATGCTGGAGCAACCCAGCCAGATGAATGGTGTACAATTGTTGTTGTTATTGTTGTTGTTGTTACTGAATGCCTTTCACAGGCAAAGCCATGATGTTTGCCACTTCGGCATCTGGGCTGAGGCGTAGTGGCAAGGAATCCTGCATTGTTTCTTGCTATAGCTCTATAATAAAGCACTATAACTGATCACTCTGGTGTTTTGTGCGTTTTTCTTTGGAATCTCTGCAACTGGGTCTTTCAGGGCATCAGTCAATTCTTCTCCCGGGTCTGTATGTGGAACTACAGGACAGAAGAGCACCATAGATGTGTACATTGGCATCACGAGTTAAGCCCCTGGAGAGAGGGTTAACCCATAGCGACCCTTTTAGGGAATTTATCACATTAGCATCCTATCGGCAACACATTGTTGAGGGAAGGCTCCTTTTATCCACCTGAAGCCGCAGCTCCCAACTGAGGCTCCATCCTCCAACCCTTGGCCCCATTTATTTCCAGAACATGGCAGTCACCATGCTCCATCGCAGGGAGTTCCAAGGGTTGTCCTGTGTGGGTGAATGAGCAGCATGTCTCGGCTTGAGGACTTTGCAGGAAAGGCAACGTATGGTCCACAACCACATCCCTTTCTACATTTTTACTGTGTTTTGTTGGGAGCAGCCCAGAGTAGCTGGGCAACCTAATCAGATGGGTGGCATATGTAAATATGTTGTTGTTGTTGTTGTTGTTTATCTGGGTAGGCTTGCCTAAACAAATAAGTTTTTTGCAAGCCCCAAAAAGAGTGAAGTGAAGGCATCTCCCTGGTGTCAATAGGCAGGGTGTTCTGCTCAGGAGTTCATGAAGAAGACCACCTTTCAGCTGAGCCTTACAGAGAATCTCAGCTACTAAGCTTGTATGCTGAAGTGCCATTTTCTCAGACCACAGAGCCTAAGACTTGCCAATCAGAAGGTCGGGGGTTCGAATCCCCACGACGGGGTGAGCTCCCGTTGCTCAGTCCCTGCTCCTGCCAACCTAGCAGTTCAAAAGAAACCTCAAAGTGCAAGTAGATAAATAGGTACTGCTCCGGCGGGAAGGTAAACGGCGTTTCCATGCGCTGCTTTGGTTCACCAGAAGCGGCTTAGTCATGCTGGCTACATGAACTGGAAGCTGTACGCCGGCTCCCTCGGCCAATAAAGCGAGATGAGTGCCGCAACCCCAGACTCGGTCATGACTGGACCTAATGGTCAGGGGTCCCTTTACCTTTTTACCCAGCCTGAACATTTTCCCTTGGATTTGGAGAACTGGGAAATAGATGGTGGCCATGGGCTGCCAGAGAAATTTGAGTCCCAAAGTCAAACCAGCTGCCACAGCAGAAAGGGTGGTCTTTACTGAACCACTTCCCCACCCCCTGAACTTTCCAGAATGATGTGCTTATTCACAGCAGCCTCGACCTGCCCCTCACTCCTTCTTCATGGGCTTTATTTACCATCTTTGCAGGAGGCTCGAATTGTTTTGACTAGAAGCCTTCAAAAATATTTTTCTTTTTATTTCTACTCTGCCTTTTTATCCTGAAAGGGACTCAGTGTCCCTGACAGTCACTCTATGAATTGTGCATTTAATTATCTATATTCAATTAAATATATCAATTGTGTATATTAAACAATGTTAACTATATTGTGAACACACATTTATGATGTGGAAGTTTAATTCCAGATGTGGCCCAAGGATTCTGTGTCCAAGTAACTCTTGTGGTCCACTTGGTCTGAGAGGCTAGACTGCCCTGATCCAGAGGTTGCAGTCAATGTCCACCCTTGCCATGTTAGAAATAAAAGGCCACCACGCTGCATCAAATTTTACTCAAACCACCCAGTTATGGTAAGCTGATCTTTCTGACGTCATCTCCCATATTT